ACCAAGTATGGTGGGGTACTCAGCACTAAGGGTGCTGGCCCTGGGCTTGCAAGCTCAGTGGAGGCCACAGGTGGCCCTGGGGAGGACCCCTGGCAGAGCAGATGTTGGAGCTCAGTCTTGACGATTGTGTGAGGCTTCCCAAGTACAAGGGGTACACTTAGAGTGGTGGATTTGAGGAAAGGTCCCCGGATGAGGCCTCCCCAGGAGAAGGGAGTAAGACTGGTGTTCTGACTGCCCCTGAACCCTGAACCCAGGCCCTTTTCCACACCCATTGAGGAGTCCGGACTGGCTCAGAGGCAAGGCTGGGATCAGAAGGTGCTGCTGTCCCATTGCCTCTCAGAGCCTTCGGGAAGATCGGGTTTTCAGGCCCTGTTGCTCAGGGCCATCTGTCTCCCAGCCCCCTTCCCTCCATAAACTCTCCCACCCCTTCAGGTACTCGAGCAAGCCTCAGCTTTGATGCGGCCACCTCAAGGCCGCGGAGTCAATGGGCCCTCTATGTGACCAGGGAGGCTGCTGGGGGGCCGCCGGCCGCCGTGGTGGGCACGGGGAAGTTCTGGACACACAGTCCCACTGTGTGGGACCGGCTCATGCCCGCCCAGACCCTACCTTCCTGGGGGGCACTTTGGGCAGGCAGGGTGGTCTGGGGAGGTGGATGTGTGCAGGGCGGCGTCGGGAGCCACCGTCAAAGGGGCCCAGCAGATGGGGCTCCAGGTGAGCGCCATAGTGGGCGCAGGATGGCTGGTGGGCGGTCTTCTCCTCCCCCAGGGCTGGTGGGGCGGAGGACGCTGTGATGGCACAGCGCTCAGTCACCAGTCTTCTGGCAGAGCTGGGATTCGGGACTTCAGCGCTAAAACCAGGAGAGTCCCCCGTTCTCGGCCGCTGCCCAGAGCTGAGGAAAGCTGTGTCTGTCCTCTCTGGTCTGGGGAGTTTCCTTCCTGTCCGGAGACCTCTGAGTCGGACCATCCTGGCTAGACCTGCCCAGGGCCATTTTGTCCACACCCCGCACCATGCCTGGGAGGCCATTTTCCATCTCTCTGAGATGTCTTCAGGGAGGAGCTGCCGACCAGCTCCCCAACCACTGCTAAGGGAGCCGTGGCTGTTCCTGCCGCCTTCCAGCACTGCCACCCTGCACCGCGCCCTCCAGCTGTCCCCGGGGTGCCCAGAGTTCTCTCTTTCTCTACTGTCTCTGCCCCTGCACCCAGGCCATTCCCTCTGCCTGAGATATCCTTTTCCCTTTGTCCCCTCCTCACCCTGCAAGACGCAGCTGAAGGTCACTTCTCCAGGGGAATTGTTCTCTCTTTCCCCACGTGGGCCAGTGCCCATCCTTGAGCTCAGCCCCTGTTCTTTCCCCCATGGCACAAGTCTCATATAATGCATCCCTTTCTACACCAGACTGTGAGCAATTCAAGCACAGAAAGCCTGGGCCCAGTTCCGGTATGCTCTCAGCACAAGGCCAGGCTCATAGTAATTAAAAGAATGAAGACATTTAAGTGCTTACTGTGTGCCAGGCACCCTGCTCATTTAATTCTCTCCAGAGCCCCATGAGGTTGGTGTGATCTTCATGCCTATTTTACAGATGGGAGACAGTGGCACAGAGAGGGAAGTGATTTGCCCCAGGCTACACAGTCAGCGAAGGGCAGAGTCAGGACTTGAACCCGAGAGTCTGATTCCAAAGCCCAAGCTTGAATATCTATACTCTGTTCTTACAAGCTTTTGCGAAATTACTGAATAAATTAAAACCATTGCCTCCCCAGAATCTCCTGATTCCTGCATGTGACGGTTTAGGCCCATTTCCTCAGATTTCCTCCCTGGAGGGGTGCCCTGCCTCAGTGTCCTGGGGAGGCCATCTTTGCTTGTGAAGCACGGTTTGGGTGCTGTATGGGGGGCCTGCTATGGGGTTGCAAAGAAAGGCCTCATGGCACAGATTTAGGATAAAGGTGCTGGACCCAGTGGAGCTGTGGGTGGGTCCTCAGGCAACCTCAAGGCCATTGCCTGTGTTTGTCAGAGGGGAAACTGAGGCCCAGAGAAGGGACTTGGTCATAGTCACGTAATATGTCCAAGTCACAGCCACTAGGTATCAGCTTCCCCATTTCCCAGAGAAGAATACATACCCCTGTCCTGCCTGGAGGATCCCAAGAGAAGAGATGGGAGAAGGCTGGAGAACTGTGAGGCCACAGAGGCACCCCAGAAGGCCCCTGTGCCCTCTCCTGCCTTCCATCTCAGTTTCTGGGGTTCTGCCCCACCTGCCACCTCTCTGGGTTAAGCGTTGCCCTGTGTCTTCCTCACCTCTGCTTCAGGGTGGGAATCAAATGCCTCTCCACCCTCTTCCCAAACTTCTGCACAGTGAACTGAGAAGAGTTCTAAAATCGGGAACCCAGGGGTTTAGCAGCTCTCTGGGGATGGTAATTCCCAAGACCCATTAGCTCCTGCTAAGGGCTCAGGACTGCAGACCTGGGGCTCCTACTTGCGTAGGATTCAGGGAGTCTGTGAACTTGGGCATAAAACCCATGAAACTGTTCCGTTCATCGACCTCTAACATTTAGCATCTTTTCCCACAGTGCTATTGGCAGCTATAGGGATCATAGACATTCTTCACTCACAGATTATCCTGAAATGCTGTTAACGCTCATCACCCCTGCATTACAGCCATTACTGGGTCTACTGTGGGGTCTTTTCACTCAGTGTGTTTCTACAGAGGCACATGGTCACCATCTCACAAATGTGCTTTTTATAGTTTGATAACTCTGTTTCTATAGATTTAGTTTCCTTTGCAGTCTTTTGGATTTTGTTTTACACATTTAAAAATGCAATTCTGTGAAGGAGTCTGGAGGCTTCCTGTAACTCCAGAAAGGTCCGTGGCTCAGAATAGGTTAAGGACTCTGTGTAGGCAGCGTAGAGTCAAGCACCACAGGACCCGGAGGCTGGATCTCTGTACAGACAGAACTCGCAGCCGCAGCAGTGTGAACCCCCAGGGACAGAATTTGGGAGGCAGATCCCCCAAAGAGAGCACGCTGTAAGCAGAACATAAGGAATAGAACTGGGCAGAAGAGAAGGGTCACATGGTATGGACAGAACATGGAGCTGCAGGGAGAGCCTCAGACCCCAGACCCTGAGGCCTCCCCACATCCCTGTCCCCTAGGGATCGGCTCTCTCTGCCCAGCAGGCCCCTGCCTCTGGGTACACATTGGGCCCAAGCCACTGGCTCTCCCCGGGTGCTCCCCATCGGGCTGCGTCTGCCATCTCTCAGGCTTCACGGCATTGGGAGCCCATTTTACATGGGCAGCCTCGCCGTCCTGTGGGCCAAGGTTCCTTTGTTTTAAACTCTACATTTCCCCATCTTGCTCATTTAGGGAGAAATACAGATTACAAAGACCCAACAAATGGTTTTTATAAACTCTTATTTTCTTGCCACAGAACTGCCTTTAATTAGCTCTGAGGACTACAAAGGGATCAGTGTTATAATAGGAGCGGCTTGAAGGAAGGAGCACACTGCTCTCGCCCCCAGACCTGCGGCTGCTGCCCATCACCAGCCACGACCAGGTCTGGAGGGAGGGCTCCCGCGGCACCGGCAGCAGGCCCCCCCTCCCCCACTCGTCTCCCTCTGCAGCCACTGTCTGCCGCAGCTTCTCTCCAGGGAGGAGGAATGGGTGCCACCTCAGGCAGGCCTTGCAGAAACCTTAGGTGCCTCATTCCCTGTCTCAAGCTGGCCACCCAAGGACTAGCTCTGAGGCACTCCGTCAGCCAGCAGAGGTACCGGAGGATGATCAAAGGGGCAGACAGACAGTCAGACTGATTTCTGAATCTCAGCAGACCGCCTCAGCTAAGAAAAGGCAGCACCAACCTCCCAAACCCACTCAGATCCCACTCAGCCCCTCTGTTCTGGAGAACTGGTCCCCACACACAGCCCAGAGGCACTGCACTCATACACAGCTCGTTCTGAGCCTCAGACAATCAGAACGTCACAGCCGGAGTGGCATCTGTTTGGGGGCACAGAGAGATTAAGGAACTTGCCTGAGGCTACTCAGCAAGGTAGCCACTGAGCTGGGACTCAGACTCGTGGCCTCTTGACCCCTAATCCCAGGTGCTGCAGCTGCATCTGGGCTTGTGCCACGGATGGGGGAGGAGGCTGTGGGGGGGTGCTGTCTGAGCCCAGCTCACATCAGCCCGAAGGGTCAGACAGAGGCAAAACAGGTCTCGCTCTGAGTTCCAACCTTGATCAGAAGTTCTAACTGGGGGATCCCAGAGTCCTGTTCTCCAGAAGGACAATACCCATAACCCTGGATCCCTCTAGGCCATGAACACCCCAAAACGTTTTCTTCTCCCCTGTGACCAAGTCTGCAGACCTTCCAGATGCCCACCCCCAACCCCACGCTGATCCAGCTTCTGCGGGACCCAGAGCCGCGCACGTTCTTGGCTGAAGCTGGAGCCTCCCTCTCCTGGCTGTGCCTCCCGCGGCCCAGTGATGACCCCGGGAAATGTGGGAGAAGGTCCCCAGGAAGCCCTCCGGACCTAAGGCGTGGCCTGGCCCCCCCGTCTGCTCCCTGGCTCTCGCCTGCAGCTGGCCCGGCTCTGGTAGAACTGAATGTCTCCCTGAGCCTGTGTCTGCCTGAGTCCAGGCCGAGCGCCACCGGCTGGGGCTGCAGAACCCAGGGGCCCATTAGTGAGACAGGAAGCCTTGGGTCTCAGGGACACCCTCCATGTCCTCTCTACCCCAAGACCCTCTGAAGTCTGGCCTTTGAGTTCTTGTGGTATCTATTGCCCCCACCACTAACTGTCCTCACCAGCTCAGGATAAAAGTCCCACAAACACGCTCCATTCTGGGAGACCACGGAGGCCACCAAGCCCTCTTCCCACTTGAGGCTTTCAGAAGCCAGTGGCTTTAGGTAGACAGGCTATGTATTTGAAGGCAGCCAGGGCGGTCGGTGCAGGGACGTGGCCGGGGGCCTGGCCACAGCCCACCCGGGGGGGCCGGCTCAGGGCCCTGGGCAGTTGCTACTCACCCCGGATGAAGGTCGCCGAGTAGGTCGGGAAGGAGTCGAAGATGCTGTTCGATGCCATGCCCCGCTCTGAGGAAGGCGAGGATTCAGCCCTTCAGGGGGTTGGGTTGGGATCGACTTGGCTGGCTGTTGTTTTATTTTTTCCTAGCGACTTTGAAAATAAAGGGGGGGATGGTGGTGTTGCTTTTTGTTTGTTTTTTTGTTTTGTTTTGTCTCTTTTTTCCCCCTACTGCTATGAAAAAGAAAAAAGGAAAGAACGCGAGAGTGTGTGTGTGAGCAAGAGAGGAAAAAAAATCCCCAAGGAAAGTAAGTTTCTGTTTGTACCCAAGAATTTGGATTCCCGGTCCCACAGGAATGTCTAGCCACAAATTTTCAACAGAAGCGTATGCAGAGTGTATCATTAGACGGCGGGAAGGGGCCTTCGGCAGCCAGGGCGCCGGAGCTCCAGGGCAGCGAGAGCAGAGCCAGGCCCAGCATCAGCACCACGGGGAATGAATGAACGGGGCTCACCCCCCCGGCAGCCCAGGCTCCAGTGGGTGCGAGGGCGGCCGTGGGTGGGGAGGCCCAGGAGCCAACCAGCTCCCGCGCCGGGCCCCGAGGGCGGCCGAGGGCCTGGCCTTGTGGGTCTGTGGTTGAGGGACCAGGCCTTCACAGTGTCAACCCAACCTCAGCTCACAGGATGCAAGGAGCCAGCTCGCGGCCTTGGCCCATTGGCTGGGCTGTGGTCACCTGGGCCGTGATGTCACGGCCTCTTAGAAGATCTTGTGGCTGGCCTCGGTCTCTTTTTGGAAAAAAAAATTTAAAAAGAAAGAAAGAGAAAGAGAGAGAGAGAGAAAAAAGTGATGGCTTTTATTTGTGGGGCTGGCCTCAGCACGCGACCCAGAAGCAGAACTGAAAGCAGTTGGAGCAGGGGTGGCTGGGCGGAGGCTTGGATCCTGTGGGACACTCCTCTGTAATGAAGGCCAGTGTCGGCCTGGGCGGGCGGGGGACCGCGCAGGGCCTGAGCAGGCGCCGGGAGCCCGGATCCCCCGGCGGCCCGAGGACTCTTCTCCGAGCCCCACCCTGGGCTGAAGCTAACACCCTGCTGTTGTCCGCCCCACTGTGCAGCGAGCGGCATCCGCACGTGTGGCTGGGTGGCACTTCAGGGGGATTTGATGGGAGTTGGAATTAAATACAGAGAGGAACACATGAAGCAGCATCACCAGCTCTCACACTTGGCCATGACCTGCCATGACCTGCCTGCCGAGAAAGGCCTTCCTGATGAAAGGTGGCAGAAGGCCAAGGGGCCAAGGTGCCAAGGTGGTGCCCTCTGGAGAGCTTGGGCTCTGAGGCCCGACTTACCATTCAAGGCCCTTTGCCCATTTTGCCCATCTGTGCATCTCCTTGGGGTTCTCTATTCCAGTCTAACGTGCCTGGGTTTCCCTGCCTCTGGGCCTTTGCTCATGCTGTCCACCCCCACCTCTGCAACCCTGGAGTGCCCTTTGTCAGCCCCTTTTTTGAATCCTTCACATCCCAGAGGGTTCAAGGCTCAGAGGGACTCAAAAGTAGAAAAGACATGGAAGATGATTCAACCCTACACTTCTGTGTTCCCAGAAGCCACGTGTGGGAGGAGCGTGGGGGCTTTTACCATTTCCCTTGCAAGTTCCACTCTCCCATTTCACAGGTCAGACCCCAGAGGCCCAGCACGTGGAATTCGGCTTGTGTAGGGCCAGACAGTACCCCGAGTGGGATTAGAATGTCAGCCTCTGACTGAGGGCTCTAGCCTGAGCCTCAGCCATGATACCATGCAGCGCCCCCTACGCTAAGCCGTGGGACTCCAGACACCCTCTGCAGCCTTGGCACCGTCCCAGCCTCTCACGGGGAACCCAGGTGTGCAGGCAGGCCCCAGCACAGCCGTGGACTCACAGTGGTCTCTCTAGGCCAACACGGAGCAGGGGGCCATCCAGGGGGAGGACGGGCTTGTCTAAGCACAGACGCTTGTTTCTGTCCACAGCAACACCAGCCACCTGGGAACAGGACGCCCTCGGAGACGTGCTGCCTGTGCCTCACCTGGAACCCCATGAAGGCTGTTTTCTGTCCCTGAGTGGGAAGTTGGGAGTTGCTGGGAGGAGGGGGGTTTAATCTGCCCAAGGAGGAAGCAAGTTTATGGCAAAAGCCACAGGGCTCTGGGGCCGAGTTTGAGTTCCAGTCCCAGTAGTGCCAAAGCCGGCTACAAGACGATGGGACAAGTCACTTCCCTTTTCTGGCCTTCAGTTTCCTTCCCTGTAAAATGGGGCAACTGGGTGAGGGCGCCATAAATGTTGGTTTCCTTGCCTGAGTCTCGGTGACATAATTTGGGCACCGTTATGAGTAAGCACAGGTAAAGAACTGTCACAGTCACATAGGACAGACTACCCCCATGGTAAACTCATCAGCTGGCCCAGCCTGGGCAGGACCAAAGGGTCAGGGCATGGGTGGAGCCTGCCCAGGGGCCTTGACCTTCTGGTTAATTTCAGAGCATTTTTGGAGTCAGCCACGTTGTAAAAGGGATCAAAGACAGACACAACTGGGAAGACCCCCTTTAACAGAAGTGAAAACTGAGGCCCCCAGAGGGGCAGAGACTCGCCCAAGTTCACCCAGTGAGTCAGTGGAACCCAGGCCCCCTGCTTCCCAGCCCAGGAGCTGTTTCCGCTCCACCAACACCACCTCCAGTTTCTAACATCACCCTACGTACATGGCTGTTTTTTCCACCCTAAAAGCAAGCCCCCCATAACACCTATAACTTGGTTACCCTGAGGGATTCCCCCTCCCAGGGAAGCTGTGTCCAGGCCCAGGAATAGGAGGAGGCCTGGGAGGCTGTGTTGGGCCCAGAGACCCATCTGCACAGCAAGTTGGCTCATGTGTTCATAGGGCAACAGGGCAAACACTGGATGCCAGGTCTGGTTCTTCCTCAGGAGGCTTAGAATTTCCAATGCCCCCTTAGAAGCATGGGCCAGACTTTGAATGAACCTCTGGTGGCTGCCTGGAGAAGCAGAAGGAACATCCCCGAAGCTGTGAGCTTTGGGGCAGGAGTCTTTATTCTTCTGAGCCTGAGAGGTGGAGCCAATTGCGGTACCCTCTTTTCAAAATTGCAAAGAAGATGAAATAAGAAAATACTGTGAGTGTGTCTGGCACATTGCAGATGCCAATTCCCAGGATTCCCATTCCTTCAGTTTCTGACTGCATACTCTCTCAGCATGCAGTGGGAAGTCAGATTTTGTCTTGAAAAAAAAAATCTGATATCATAGAAGCCTCTGAACCCATTAGATCAGGTTAATCCGAAAATTTGGTTGAAGGAGAGAATCATTAAAAAAAAATAGTACTTATGCTCCTTTAAACCTTTATTTTTAATTTAAACTTACAAATGTGCATTAAATGGTCTTACTCTTATTCTTCTGGCTTAAGTCAGCCCAGAAGGCATCTCCTACAACTTCCTCTTTGGTTTCTTTACGGTGGAACATGAATGTAAAGATGCGTATGATGCAGTCAGCATCCAGTAGCATCTAGATTTTACTGTTTTCCCCAGTCTTCTACAATGACCCACTCTCACCTAATCAAATGCATTTTTTAGCAGCTTGCCATCACTCTTTCCAAGGTATTCAACTTAGTTTTAGAGAAACAGACACTCCTGTTTTGCATCTTATCATTGATAATAACACACTGCCATCAGTAAAGGTCCAGTCAGAGAAGAGAAGCCACTTTGAGTATTGGAAATGGAGGGGAGTTAATTGGGGGGTTATTGGCAACACAGGTGAAGCAAGAGCTGCGAGGCCAAAGATGGCTAGGTGCCCTAAGAATAGCCACACTAGGAAGCCACGCTTTGGCAAGAGGGGCACAGGGAAAGGGCAGGTTACCAGGGTCCCCAGCAGAAGCAGGGGCGTGGTAGAGTAGTCTAGCATTTGCTGGACCCACAGAGGAGACTTAACCACTATGGAGATGCCCCAAAACAGAGACTAAAAGGACTTCTCTCTTTCTCCCAACCTTCAATCTCCTAGCATCTGCCATTGGTTGAATGGAGCTGGAACCAGTGACTTAGTGGAATTATACCCCTGCACTATGGAGACAAATGGGGGGAGGGGTAGAATGGATCTGGGGGCAAACTGGCCCTGGATTGGCATAATATCCAGTGAAGTTCTGTAACCACGAAAACCCAACTGGCATAAAGGGGTCTGGGGACACATCCAACTGATGTCTGGCAAGTTGACAGCTCAGTGGGCTGGTTGGGGCTGAAGGTGTGGATCCCAGAGAATGATCTGCTAGCCCAGAGCATTGATTGGTATATTATGCCAGAAGTGCTGGTGAGCCCCATGTTACATGGGAAGTAGTTAAGAAAGCATATACCATAAATAGTGATGAAATTGCATTTTCTTCACTTGTGTGCAGAACTGATATTTTCACTGGGATACTGGGATCGGGGGATTATGTCCCCAGTCATGAGGACTGGCTTTACAGCCCATGTATGAACTTCGCAGTTTACAAAATGGCACACCTCTGAGCCCACTGGGCCTTCCCAGCAAACCTGCAGGACAGGTGTGGCTCTCTTCACTTTTCTGATGAGGAAAATACTAATCCCAGAAATTAACACCAAGTTTTAACCTCTAGGAGTCAGTGCAGCCAGATTGGACCAGATGAGCGGCAGATCTGAGATGCGCACTGGTCTTGGAGTTCAAATTCTGACTTTCTCCCAGCAAATCACAATGCTGGGCCCAAGGAAAGGGCTGGAGCAATTCTCTGGTACCTACTGCAGGCTGCTGGGGTGCTCCACCTTCAGGGTGACTTGAAAATAAGATGCCTCCTTCCACTACTCCCCTCCCCGCACAACCAGGTCCACCCTCTGCTCTAGCGGAGGTCCATTCTCAGGGTGGAGGGTGAGGCCTACAGGCCATGTAGCCAACCCAGAGACAGGATACCCAGGCCAAGCCGAGGGACCATTAGCTAAAGACCTACCATGTGGGATGCATATACTGACAGCTTTATGTACAGAATCTCCAATGGTGGGCTCTCAAGACAGCCAGCCATGCTAAGGGGTCTTCCTGCCAGTTTCCAAGCAGCAGTCAGAGGTGAAGGGACCTGGTTGCAGATGGAGGAAGCAGATTCAAACCCAGCCTGCCCACCACCTGCTTTCTGGGCTCTTTCTCCTGTCCCCACCCCCAGCCTTTCTCTTTCCTGTTGTTTGTTTCAAAAAACTGCTCAGGTGCCCCCTTCAGAACCAAACCCCTCCCTGCTCCCACTCCATCTTCCTGCCTCAGCCCCCTTCTCCAGGGGCCTCCCTTTACTGGATCCCTCTCTGCCACCCCAGGGTAGCCGCATCGTCCTTACACCATAGGTTAGTGGCATTGAGGACAATCTTATGACTACCTGCTCACAGCGTCTGCTTCACCCCAGGCCCCAGCAGCTCCACTCATGGCCTTTCTTCCTGCCTAAAATTCCACTGTTAGTGCACATTTGAGTCTGGGTACACTTCAGCCATAGCCTTCGGTTAAAAAGGCAGG